CAGGCTGCGTCGGGGGAACAATGCGCATTAATAAATAGGCTTTCGGGAGGGGATGCTCCATAGACACCAGACCCTTGCAGGAGCGTTGTTGTTATGATAGTCGCTATAGCAGCGGGGATGACAATTTGCATGGAGAATCCGCAGAACAGCGTGATTGCCCTGCATGACAAGTTTGTTTGGCTTGTCCGACTCCTTCAGAACCACGGCATAAGAGTACTCTGAAAGCAAGCAACTGTTTTTTTTTTAATGCACGGTTTTGCTTGGTGTACTGTTTTCTGTATGTCTACTACAATGTCTACATGAGACAATTGGTGCCCTTCAAGCCATAAAGTGGAAACAAACTTCGGTAGTGTACTCAGGATTCAAAGTCATGTACTTTACAGATGTGCGCAATAATTATAGCTTCTGTCCCTATTGTTGGAAACCAAGATGTTCAAAGCAAGTTTCTGGATGAGAAAGCATTCTTCTCCTACATGGAAAAGAACCTGGGTATGGAGCATGAGTGAATCCATAGGGGAGCTTGATCTTGGCCCCATGACTGTGGAAGAGCGTGCCACGGAAATTCGCACCACGCGCCAGTATCTTAGAGATGGAAGGGTTTGCTGGACTGGAAATGAAAATCTTCGTGCCACCCAGTGACTTGAAGTAATTTCAGCAAGCTACAAATTTGCATCTCCATCCAACTAGACCCCCTGTTTCCTGTTGTGTGTGATCATTCTAATTTTCATTGTACACTACTCATGTTTCCCTTGTTTTTCTGAACCACAATGCCTCTAGACAGACCCTGTGTCCATACTTGGCAGGGTGTATCCCTATGTCTTCGCGCGGCACGTCGTTGAATTGATTCCCAAGATGCTACGAGAGAGGCCTGCTGCAAAGCTGCCTGCAGTGACGTGCCAGCACTCGAGATGCCTCATGGGGTTTGAAGGTTGTGAATGAGTTGCGGGTGCTGCTGAAAGACTTTCAAAAGTGGACCCAGGGTTGATAGAGGGTGTTATATAGGGCTTGCAGTATAATATGTGTATATATATAGGGCTTATAAGCATTGTTTACCAACGAAGGCGCAGATGTACATAAGTGTATGTTTGGGGTGTAAGAAGGTCACAGTAAGACAGGGCTCTGTAGATTGGAGGGTTGCATGTAATTGGCTTTCTATGCTTGATCAAAATTCAAAAGATCTTTGTAGAGGGTAGCTGAGACAATAAATGTTTTCGGCGACAAGGGCCCTGAAGACTTCATCCATTTTTTGCATGAGCCCTCAAAGGAAAAGTCTATGTAATGTTTATAGAATGCGCGTTTGACACAGGGGAACAGGCCCAAGATGATCAAGAACCCTGTATAGTGCGAAAGCAAGGGAAGAGCATTGGGGCAGTTCAATAAAAGGTTGGTTCCCCTGTTGTCCTGCCAGGAGATAGATATGCCTCTCCCCAAACTTATTTCTCAAGAAATGGAGTATGCTGATCCATCCCACTCCTTTTCGTACAAAATCTTACGAATGTAATCTTAATTGAAGCAATATAACCCCACCAGACAGAAGTGTCCTCATCCCTCTTTCTGGGACATGTATGTTTTCTGCACATGATGTAGCCCAGGTGTCTGGTGCTTCCCTTTTGGAGCAGTGGAACGAGCTGCAGTTTGAAGATTGGGATACTTGCAGTGACTTGAAAGATGTTCTTGCCTATGTTCGCGGATCCAAGCGTTTGCGTATTCCGTTTCTTTGGCGGCCCTTCTTGCCGCGGGAGATCTAAAGTGGCTTGAAGTTCACCTTGTGTGCTGAGTACAGTATTGCATGCAACGTACTTCTGAGGAGCAATTCGAAATTCGAACCTAATTATGGGAGTCTTCAAGGGGACCTGCTTGAAAGGGCTCATGATAGCTTATAAGGGCTCAAATAGGGGTGTAGGCCTGGATTGATTGGGCGAGACATATCATAGGATTCTATATATTACAGGGTCTCTATAGGGGCTATATAGAGAAGCTACACGGTGAAGGGCTGTTTTGTGGACAGGCAGGTATATATGTAGGACCAAACGGAAATTCGCAAGCAAGTCCTCTATAGCACAGTGCCAGTTAGCCTTTATGGACGCAGCGAGGTTGTTCAAGTGCCGGGCAGCCAAGTTTGTATATATAGTGTAGTCTTCATTCCAGGCGCGCATCATATTATACTCCCCATCATTCACACTTTATGTGCGCATCCTGCATCCAGGAGCCCATTTTCATGACTATAAGCAACGGCCCTTGAGAAGCAAACCGCCATGCCTTTATACAAGGTTTGACCTTTATAATCTCCAGCAACATATGATGGAATGCAACTGATCAGGGGCTAGCCCCATATAACACCCTGTATAAGATAATCAATTTTATATGTATAGACTCGATCTATAATGTACAATCCCATATATTATATAAGCCTGATATAGACCCTATTTGTATAACCGCCAAACGCAATAAACACCTCATATGATATATATTCATTTTTGTAATAGGCTGGCTGGTGGATGATGCAGGCAATCTGATTCAACTTGTCCACGCTGCAGGACAAAGTGCAGAAGGAAATGTACATATGTAGATGCTGTCTGGGCATCGGGTTTTGAGAACTTAAGGCAATGGATGCTGGGCGGAAAACCCATGTTATATACCTGCACCTGAATCCATATATGCTGGCTGCTGGGCGAGGAAATCAGAAAGACTTCCGACTTTTAACAACGAGTGGGCAATTTCTAGACTTCAGGTTTATCATGAATTTTAAATCATTTCGGCCGAAAATGGAAGGCGGAAATGCCCGGTCGAAAGGCGGAAATACCCGGTCGAAAGGCGGAAATGCCCGGTCGAGATCTCGGCGGGTTTTTGATTGGGCAAAACCCACAAATCGCCCTTCAGGACTTTCCTGAAGGCTATGTCATGGTTTAGTCTTTGGGCTGCTGTCCAGCACATCACAATGGAATAACACCTGACACTTCAGGATTTAAAGAAAGGACAACCTGCCCTGCAGGATACACAGCATGAAGGCCAAGTTGCCCTTCAGG